CTCTCTCTCTCTCTCTCTCTCTCATATCCATATCAGATCAACTCTAATCATTACATGTTTATCTTTCCAGTTTTCAATTACAACCCTCGATTTCACAACGTGTTGAGAGTTAGTCACGCCGAGTACCAAGCGTGCAACGCGTCTTCGCCAATGTCGACTCACACGACCGGAAACGACTCGATCATGATCGACACTCACGGCCACCATTTCTTCATGTGTGGCGTGCCAACACACTGCCAGGCCGGACAAAAGGTCGACATCAATGTTCCCCGGCCGCCCTCCGTGGGGCCCGCCCAGTCGGCGAGCTCATCACCCCCTCCAGTTGTTAACTCTCCAGTTCCTATAGATACAGTGCAGGCTCCATCTCCAAGTGCTGCTGCTACTCCCATAATGCAGGCTTTTGCTATTAATTTTGTGGGTTTTTGGGTGTTTTTGGCTTAAATATTGATATAAAACTTGTCTTGGTATATGTTTCATGACCTGATTTTTGTTGAGTTTACAAGCACTATTCATCAAAATAATTCTGTAATTTTGTTGTAGTTCATTCTTCCTTTTACTTATATATATATTTTCTCATTGTCTTTTTTTATTTTTTTATTATTATATTATTTTTTTTTTTTTTTTTTTTTTTTTTTTTTTTGCATTTTTCCCTCTTTTTTTTCTTTCAATAATAAGTGAGAATTACTTCAATGTACACATTTTTTTTAATAAATTTAATTCTATCATGTAGCATCTTACTTTCCAAATGAATCCCTGAATATTATTTACATAGAATCTCGTGTACTAGAGGTGATAGGATGAGATAAGGTTGATTAACCAATCACTGATCAGTTATTCGCCTCATTTTTGTTGTGTGAGATGACTAATTGTTTGACAGGTGGAATTTTCTAATAAAAATATATACTTATTTTGTGAAATGTCATACTTTTGTCACATAACTCTTTTAACATAAATGTACTTTAATTTTAAAAGGATTTGAGATAAAACATGATTAAGAGAAATGTCCAAAACACTTGAATGGCCAATCAATATGCTCTGATAAAATTTCTCGAGAGATAGATTTACAGAGATGAGTCTTGATTCTTATATACAAAGCATAAGAATGATCTAGAATGAGGACACCTAGGCTAGGTGAAAAACCAATTCAAAATGAGAGTTTTACCCTTTAAGGGTAAAAGGACAAATATTCTCTTTGGGTGCAAAGGAGCCCGTTAACAAACTTTGTCCTTATGCATGCTGCCATGCAACACGCCTGAGCTGCTCCTTTGCTTGTTGTCATTATGGTGATGCTGCAATGGTTGTCCAACACGTGGAAGATGATGTTGAAATTGCTCATGCAAGTGAGACAGATTTTGAGACTGTCTTTTATCCTCCCTCAATTCGAACATCGATCTTGGAATAACATTGAGTCGTGTCCGAAGTCGATTGAAGAATTGTCCACTCAATGGTTTAGTAAGGATATCAGCAACTTGGTAAAGGGTAGGCACATGTTGGACTGAAATGATTTTGTTACACACCAGCTCTCTAATAAAATGCATGTCTATCTCAACATGCTTAATCCTTGAGTGTTGGACTGGATTGCAGGCCAAAGCTATGGCTCCTCGATTATCCACCCAAACAGTAGAAGGATTATGACACTCAACTTGCAATTCTTTTAATAAGGACTGAAGCCATATGATTTCACAAGTAGTAGATGCCAAACTTCTCAACTCAGATTCTGTGCTTGATCTGGAAACTGATTTTTGCTTCTTAGAACTCCATGCCACTAAATTCTTTCATAAGAAAGCACAAATCCCTGATGTTTATTTTCTGTCATCAAGATCTGAGGCCCAATCAGCATCAGCAAAAGCAACAATCTTGCTGGAAGAATCCTTATAGAATTGCAGTCCAAAATCTGTTGTTCCTGACAAGTACCTCAAGACCCTTTTCAATGCCTTGAGATGAACATCAAATGGACTTTGCATGAACTGACTTAGCTTATTGACACTAAAGGCTATGTCAGGTCTTGTGATGCTAGCATACTGTAAAGCTCCTATGATGCTCCTGTAAGAGTAAGCATCTGTAATTGGCGGTCCCTCAAACTTTGTCAAAGGGGATTTGATCATGGGGGTTTTAAGGGATTTGATGTCCTTCATTCCTGCCTTCAGCAAAATGTATTCAAAGTAGTTTTTCTGAGAGAGAATGATCCCATCTTGATTTTTGATCACTTCTAAACCAAGAAAGTAACTCAAACTGCCAAGATCTTTCAAGGAGAAATTCTTAGACAGTTCATTAACAACCTGTTGGATGCTATCATCATCACTTCCTGTGATTATCAAATCATCAACATATGAAAGGATAAAGGTTGTATTATTATCCTTATGTCTGAAAAATAGAGAGGAATCAGCTTTAGCCATTTTAAAACCAAGTGAGCTCAAAACTTGGGACAACTTTGAAGACCAAACTCTTGAAGCTTGTTTTAATCCATAGATAGACTTTTGCAATTTGCAAACTAGTGGCTTACCACTTTGATCAAACTTTTCAAAGCCAGCTGGTTGCTCCATATAAAGATCAGTATCCAATTCTCCATACAAGAAGGCATTATCAATGTCAACTTGTCTCATTTTCCAAGACTTTGACAAAGCAATAGCCAAAATGGTTCTTATGGTGACTGGCTTCACAACAGGACTATAGGTACTGTATAATCAAGTCCTGGTAACTGAGTAAACCCCTTTGCTACCAACCTTGCCTTGTGTCTGGCAATGGTACCATCTGCATTCCTTTTCAACTTAAAAACCCATCTGCTTCCTATGACATCCTTGTGTTTAGGAGCTGGACACAATGACCAAGTGTTATTTTGAGAAGAGCTTCAAATTCCTTGTTCATAGCCTCTCTCCACTCTTTGGACTCAAAGGCCTTATCTATGCTATTTGGTTCAGTCTCAGATCTCCCTTCATTTCTAGTGATTCCTTCATGATACACCTTTGGCTTATGAATTCCTGCCTTAGACCTGGTCACCATAGGATGAGCATTTTCCTGCAATAAATCATGAGACTTATCCATAGAAACATATTTGGTTAGATTCTCTTCACTTCTTTCAATTGGTAAGTCTATAAAGAGCTCTCCTATGGGTATAGATGAGTGATGGGATGAGTCAGAAGGTGTTCTGTGAATGGATGATTGTGACTGAATGTTTGGGGTATGGTTTGAATTTAACTGAGGTAAATCAAGAGATTGCTTAGAGTTGAAGAAAGGTTGTATGGAGTTTTGAGGGATCATTTGAATGACAGGCTCTTTGTCTGTTGGGAGGTCAGCTTTCATTTGGTTTGGAAAAGATTTCTCATCAAAATGAATATGCCTAGTGATAATGATCTTACCACTAGGTAACATGGCTTTGTATCCCTTATATTGCTGACTGTAGCCAAGAAAGGTTGAAGGCTTAGTTCTGGGTTCTAGTTTGTGCTTATTATAGGGTCTCAGGTAAGGGAAGCATAGACAACCAAAGACCTTAATAGAGGAGTAGTCTGGTTTCTTACTTGTCAAGAGCTGCAATGGTGACTTGTAACCAAGGATTTTGGATGGTAATCTATTTATAATGTAGCTGGCTGTAAAAAATGAATCATCCCAATGTTTATAGGGAAGATGAGATTGAGACAAAAGGGATAAACCCATCTCAACAATGTGTCTATGCTTTCTCTCAGCTAGACCATTTTGTTGGGGTGTGTATGGGCAAGATATTCTGTAGAATATGCCATTGTTTAAGAAGAAATTGGATAGAGCCTTGAACTCAGTCCCCCCATCACTTTGAACACTCTTGATTTTTCTGTTAAATTGGTTTTCAACAAGATTTTTGAAATGAACAAAGGCATCATATGTGTCTGATTTGGCTTTGAGAAGGTAAAGCCATGAGTATCTGGTTTTGTGATCTATAAAGTTCACATAATAATGAAAGCCATTATAAGACTTGATGGGAGCAGGACCCCATAGATCAGTGTGTATGAGGTCAAGAGTTTCATAATGATCATTGGTGGAATTAGGAAAAGGTAATTTATGGATTTTTCCTTGCAGACAAAATTCACAAAGGCTTTTATTTTCATTGAATTCAAAATGAAGATTACAATCAAACAAGGCTCTTTTAACTATATCAACTGGAGCATGGTCTAGTCTAAAATGCCAAATGGCTACATCTTCATTAACTCTCCTAACATTATTAATAGAAACAGGATGGGAAATATCCTTGGTAGTACTGAAGTCACCACTGCTACTGGACAGGTTGAAGGTGTAAAGACCATCCTTAACTCTCCCTCTTAATAGGGTCAATCCTGAAATTTTGTCCTTCACAAGGCAACAGTCTGAGTGAAACTCAAAATAAACATTATTATCAAAAGCAAATTGAGAAACACTCATAAGATTCTTGGTTATCTCAGGCACAAAGAGCAAGTTTTTGAGGATAAAATATGGAGATTGATGATTATTAGAGCTCAAAATAGAATTACCAATGTGAGAAATGTTAAGATTCTTACCATTACCAATCTGCACTTTCTCACTGCCTTGGTACTCAGAAGCCAAGTTTAAGTTTGAGAGGTCATATGTGACATGGCTGCTTGCTCCGGAATCTGGATACCAACTATTATCTTCAGAGGGTTCATATGAAGGTGATGGTATGATGGTTGTGGCATGGACTGTGGGATTTTTGTTTCTACTAGCTTGACCTTGGCTGTGGTTGTTGTTGTTTCCTTGATTCCCAATGTTTGGAACAAAGGATTGATCAAATCTGTGCCAACACTTGTCTGCAGTGTGGCCAGTGTAGAAGCATACTTGACATCTTGGTTTGCCTCTACCTCTTCCTCGGCCAGTGTTTGTTCTGCCTCCCCTTGAGCCACTTCTTCCTCTTCCTCCTTGGAAATTGCCTCTTCCTGTTCCATGTGTCTCAGTGTAGTTGATGCTGGGATTGGATCCATCAAAACTGTACTGAGTTTGATCTGTGGTGACAGCTTCAATTCTTGTCTCAAAGGTAAGGAGGAGAGACTGAACTTCTCTGAGGTTGATGGCTTCTGATTTAGCCATGATAGATACCATGACTGGGTTGTACTCATGGACAAGACCTGCTAGAACATGCATGATCTGTTCTTCTTCTGTCACTCTTTGGCCAGCAGCTGCTAAAACATCACAACAAGATTTTACTTGGTTGAGATACTCTCTCATGGTTGAGCCTCCCTTTTTCATGGTTCGCAGCTTAAGCTTGTATTGCATAACCTTTGCCTTTGATTGGCTGGAGAAACCTATGTTGAGAGCATCCCAAATCTCCTTGGATGTAGTGAGACCAACTGTGGTGATGAGAATGGGCTCAGATAGTGAAGAGAGAAGAAAGGATGCCAAGATCTGATCTTGTCTCACCCAAAAAGTGTGATCTGGGTTGATTGTTGGCTCACTGGTTTCTTCTTGAAGATATTCTTCTGGGATTTTTTGGTTGGCCGAGATGAACTGAAACAAGTCATATCCTTTAATGGCTGCAAGAACTTGTTGGTGCCAAACAAGATAGTTGTTTTCATTGAGTTTGGATGAAATTAGTTGGCTCTGTGGGAAGACAAGTTGATTTGGTTCTGAGGAAGGAGATGAAATCGTTGATGAAGACATGATGAAAAATATGAAGAAAGGAAATAAAGAGAAAGGTATAAAGCTTCCAGGATTGTTGTTAGCTTGCCTAACGGTTAGACATTCATATTTTTCCATTAGATTTATACTTTATATTGAAATGTCATGCTTAAAAAATAATGTAAATATAATTATAATCAATGTTTCAAATATCACACTATACCGATCAATTATATTGCAGGTAATATCAGATACAATAGCCCGGTCGATTCGGTTACACTCTAAATATCGTTTTGATCAAAATAGTGGTTTCATACTAGAAAATATCGGTTTTATCTGTAATACCGGATACAGTAGTTTGGGCAGTTCCTTTACCCTTTAAATATCATTTTGATCTAAATAGTGGTTTCATACTAGAAAATATCAGTTTTATCGGAATATACAGGTCAAAATATATGAGTCTTGATTCTTATATACAAAGCATAAGAATGATCTAGAATGAGGACACCTAGGCTAGGTGAAAAACCAATTCAAAATGAGAGTTTTACCCTCTAAAGGTAAAAAGACAAATATTCTCTTTGGGTGCAACCCGTTAACAAACTTTTTCTTCATGCATGCTGCCATGCAACACGCCTGAGCTGCTCCTTTGCTTGCTGTCATTATGGTGATGCTGCAATGGCTGTCCAACACGTGGAAGATGATGTGGAAATTGCTCATGCAAGTGAGACAGATTTTGAGACTGTCTTTTAAATTTCATACTTGTATTTTATTTTTATTTTTTTCATTTTTTAATTTTTATTTGGTACTATGTTTTATTATCTATATCTATATACCTTTATATCCCGTCCAACTGTTAGTACTATAGCATACCATGGCTAGGCAGTAGACTTGTAAACAAATTGAATTTTTATTCGATTCAATATTCTATTTGGATTATTCGAATACAAATAATGTGTTATATTCAGAAGTTAAACGAATTCGAGTCTGAATTTATAGATATTCAATTCAGAATGATCAAATATTCCACTCATTAACGATAATTATATAAATTTGATAAAGTATATATAGAATAGAATAAATTTTTTCTATAATATATATATATATATACATATATATATATTGTTTTATTCCTAATATTTCTATGGTATAGAAAGTAAAAATATCCCAAATTAACAATTTGCCCTTAAAACATATCGAACAACATAAACAATATTTTTTTAATTATAATATATTTTGAAAACGAATTTCAAATTGAATTGAATATGTTCGAATATTCTAAACGAATCGAAGACAAATCAAAAGATGAATTGGAATACGACTTCTCGCATATTTTAACGAATCCAAATCCAATATCTTATTATTTTGTTTCGTTCTAAATAAAATAAAATAACATCTCTAAATTTTCTCATAACGTAAAAAGAATGAAAATGAATATATATATATATATACATATATATATTATATTCAATCATTTACATATATACAAATAAAATTCTACTACCATACCCGTGTGCTATACATTTATTTGATAATATAGTTTGTGTACAACTAAAAATTAAAAAAAAAAATATTTATACATTTTATTGAAGTTGGATAAATAAATAAAATACAATATATAACAATTTATAATATAAAAACTAATTGAATTAACAATATTATTTTAGATTCTGATAATTAATATATAAACATCATTAGTTTTATTTATAGTATTTAAATATTGCACTTATATATAATTTACGAATGCATTAAGCCTAAGAGCATCTACAATGTTTTAGGTTCAATCACAAAAAATTGTATGTCACATAAGAAATAGACATATTCTAATAATGTATTCTCCAATGCAAACAAAAGTAGACTGAGTCCTGCTGATGTGGCAGTCAGAAAAAGAGACTCGGTCTACCATTAAGTCTATTTTAAACTCAAGTAGCGAGACTTAGTCTCTTTGCATTGGAAAGAATTTTATTGATTTTACATACTTTTATCAACATATCATATAAGACTTTGAGTTAATTTACATGTCACATAGGCAAGACTAGACCCAATGCATTGTAGATGCTCTTAGAGCATCCACAATGCTTTGGGATTATTCACAAAAATATAAATGCCGTATAAGAAATAGACATAGTCAAGAAAAATATGCACTCCAATGCAAGTGCAAGTGGACCGGGTCCTGCTTATGTGGTAACAAGAAAAAGAGACCCGGTCTAGCCTTAAGTTTATTTTAGACTCAAGTAGAGACCTAGTTCATTTGCATTGGAATTAAATTAGTTACTTTTATATATTTTTGTCCATGTCATCCAAGACTAAAGTCTATTTACTTGTCATTAGACCCAAAGCATTGTAGATGCTCTTAGTGACAGTCTCGTATGCTTCATAAGCTTATTCAACATAAATGTTTGTTTTGTATTAACAAATGTACATGTTTAGTTTTAATTATTATGCTTAAAAGTTACCATAACCTATTTTATCTTTCCTTTAAGTGTTATCATATACTACTCTTACATTTTCTTATTTAATTAAGAATAAATTACATTTTCTTATTTAATTAAGAATAAATTAAGTTAAATCAGTGCATGATGAAGATGTAATAATTAAAAAATAAAACTTACAATGACAAAATAACAATTGATCAACAGAAATATATAAATGGATAATAGCAACTTTTTTAAAGAATTGTGAGAAAATAATGAGAGAATTTCATCCTAGCTATTTTGATTTTTGAATCAAACACAAATCAGCCTCGTATAGATTGAAAGCATATTAGCGTCTTCGTGATATAGTATCAAGATTAACACCATTTGACAATATACAACAAAAGTAATTAAGTATAGCATCTATCTATACACCGAAACATTTTTATTAAATCTTGTCTTTCTCCACCACATATAGAACACCATTGATCCTCAATTCTAAAGTCCGGATGAGCATTGAACAAATGACTCTGGAGCACGAGAGCACGGCCACCACTAGCTTCATTACAACTGCTTCCAGGTCAACCGGACTCGAATTTTAAAATAGTTCCATCAGTTGATGAGCAACATCTGCAAAAACAGCCGCATAAGTTGGGGAATTTCATAGACATAAATTATCGCTAGGCACATTATACACAACTTTCGGACTATTATTTGTCAATCACAAACATCATCCACTTCTCGCGGGGTTACAATGCAAATGGGTTTTACTTCCATTATTTATTTTGACCAACATGAAACATACAATTATGGTATCATTTGAATGTACCTGTCAATCATACACGACCCTTCAATAGTAACAGTCACTAAAACAGCACATCAAAGTCGTATTCAAATCCATTGTTAGTTACTCTCTTAAAAGATCCAGACCATTTCTCTTTTCCTGTTATGTACTTGAAGAAAAATAATGACCCAATGATTTGCATGTAAATCTACATATAATAACTAAATGAAAACAAATTAGGCATTTCAGGAAGTTTACTCTAGGGTATTAGTAGAAGTTTCTACCTTTCACAAACAAAAGCTAAAAGTTGAAAGAGTGGTAAGTTGAAGAAGTTGCTCGTCTGCTTGTAAGTGGAACCCAAAACACAATCTAAAATCTTAAATGCCCCTCTGCTTTTAGAATTTTGTTGAGTTATGTGAAATCAAAAGCAAAAGTTGACAATCGAGAGTGATTAAACAAGTTATTTCTTAGCTAGAAGCAATAACTATCACTTTCTTTTTCTTAGATGCTCAAGACAAGTTCAGATGCTCAGAAAGAAAAATGCTGACCTCTGAGTACAGATGGTGGTGTATGGAACTCCTTCCAAACATTATCAGACGAAGAAAGATTCAAATTTAGATATTTGGAAGCAAGGTAAGCAGCACCAGCAGCTATGTGGTGAGGTTTGAATTGGAGCCAAAGTGAGCTCCTGAGCCTGCAGAAAAAGAAAAGTGGGTTAAGAATTCGAAAGTAATCATCACAACATCGACATAGAATATGGTAAATAACAGATAAACAAAACAAACAAACAAAAATTGCACTTACAGAGTCTAGAGCTGATTGAATATGTATTTGGCACAATCACAGAACAATTAGTTCATATATTTCATGCAATAAACATTGTTTCCAAGAAAAGCAAATACAGGAACCAAAACAATTTTTCCCTTACCAACGAATAAAGCGGCGGGTGATAGAAAAATCCAAGATTTGTCTGCAGTATGTTGATTTGAGTACACCCTAATATAGAATATTTAGTACACCGTCTACATATATATGGACTTCGTCAACCCAACTTTGCGGCCGCAATATACCAACACCATGTTGATTTAAATGGGTAATATTTCAAGCAAGCTAAACCTCCCGAGCAAGGCCATGTCTCCTCAAAAGTTCGAATAGCCAAAGAACTTGTAACATGCAAGCCTCATTTTTATATGCTTCTCAAAGGTATCAATATGCGCATTTATTGACAAATCAAGCTTCTGAAATCGGAAGACTCATTTTGAATCATATTAGACACATATGTATCATTTTGAATCATACTAGCGAGTCTAACATCAAACGTAAACCATCATACTACACCAGCATTTAAAAAAAAAAAAAGGTTTTAAATATGTCACATTTGTTCGCTGTCAAGTTATTTAGTACTAGGAAGCTAGAATAAATACATTTTGATAATATACCTACTGTGTAAAAACCAAAAGAATATAACCAAAAAAAAACCTTTGAGGACAAAACTACAAAGAACTTTTACATACTTAGCAAAATAAAAAATATGCTTCATTACCAAAACGACACCAGAAGTTTTTTTCTTTTTTTTAAAGTATCATATTATCAAAATGACACAGGAATAAACTTTTGTAGGAAAAACTATACTTGGAAAACTAAGATATGAACCTTTTTTTAACACAGATATGAAAGAAATTAATGACTGAGCCTGAAGAATGCAATTTTGATGAAAACCGAACAAACTTATCATAAGCCTATAGGCGTTTGTTATTGGACACCAATAAATAATGCAGCATTACCTGCTATAGAAAATTCTGAAAAAAAAAAAAAAAAGAAACACTGCCAGACCCAAAAACACACTGCCACTTTACAACTATTACTAGGCTTCAGTCTATATGTACCCAACCTCGAGTTTGTCACCCAAGCACCTGGAGGAAGTTCTTTTCTTTTAAGCTACAAATTACACCTAAATTATTTGATAAAGGTATATAACAAATAACTCTGGATATTATAGAATCTAAAAGTAAACTGTCTAAAGTGAATCAACTTATGAACTCCCAACCCGCACACCCCACCCAACCCAAAATAAGAAGGTAGTGACGTAAGACTAACATATAAATTTTCTGACAATGGTTGTCAAAATGCTCGACATTCCATCAAAAATGTTCCTACCATCGGGTGGACTACATATGCAAGGATTTACCTCACCCCCTCATTGTCTCGCGACAACCCAAAGAAGACTGATAAAACTCATCATAAAGATTGTGCAAACCAAAAATGTATATCAATACAGTCTTTCTCCATCCATCTCTTCCCATCCCTCCTGTAGCTGCATTTAATCATTTCCTTTTTCCTCGACAAAAAGGTAAAGGCAGAGTGTCTAAGGTAAAAGATACTACTTTTGACAGCCGAAGCATAGAGGTTATGTACCCCGAAACTTCACTTGAGGGCTTTAAATTTTAGGAGACAACTCCAAAATGAAAAAGAAGGTTCACTCGGTGGTCAAAGGAATGGATAAAGCCGGAAGATGTTTAAGAAGATACTGTGTACACCACTATGTCCTTAACATGGATGGAAGAAAGGAAGAAGGGCTCGAAGGAATATATCTGCAGAAATTGGGAACATAAGTTTTACAAAGTGAGGAAAGAAGCAAGTCAAGATGGACTTTGCAGACCATAACCAGCAAATAGCTTATTGGTAGCAAAACAACTCAGCAGTTCTCTTCAGAAATTCCTCAGGCTACTCATAGGCATGGATGTTGAAACACAGCGAACCGAAACAAATATTCCACACTAGAATTGCCACACGAACACAGATCAGGGAGTCCAATGGACGCATTTATTAATAATCATCCAGAAACTATCTTCTATATCCAATGGAGGCATGTCATTAAGGTGTCAGCATGGAAAAGGCATCCACAAGATATCTCTAGTTCAACTTCACTGAAAAACAAAACATTTGATGAACAGCACATCAACCGCCAGCTATTAATATCATAAGGTGTGCATGCTAATCCTCTATAGACCCTGCAATTATATGCCAATCCAAAACATTAATATATCATGCCAGGATGAATACAGAATATGAGACAAAAGGCAGAAAGCAAGTCTCGTGCAATTCAGTAACAAAGAAGCTGTAAAGTTGATTGTACTAATTCTAGTCTCCAATCATTACAAGTGCTGACCCTCAATGGTTGATCAAATAAACACCAGATCCAGTGATTAAAATCTGAAGGAGCGAACAACAGTGATAGTGCTGGCCCTTATGTATTGTTACTGGTAAATTCTATATCAAACATATGGACTGGTCAATGCAGGTTCCCACTGCAAAATAGCACATTAAATGAAAATAATTAAAAGTAATGTACTTACCCTTCACTGATCAAGCTCAATGCTAGGTTCACAAAACCAGATTGCGAAAAGCCTAATTTTTGAAGAGTGGATGTCAAAGATTCATATGGATGCTGCACGCCTAGCTCAAAATTCAATGTAGTCAAAATCAATTGCTCAGCCTCTAGAATCCGCTCGCGATATTGCTCAAACCAATCCTGTTATGCAAACGATAGCAAATTAACAGAAGCATATTAACTGCATAAGCCAAATTTATAATTTGAAAGGAGATCCAACTAAAAGAAAGATAAGGAAAAGAAAGTGAGAAAACAGGAGGAACAAATCGTAGCATAAAAAATTACTCTTGACATTTTTCTATCTTTAGCCATATGACTCATATTTGGTTTAATGCATATCAGACTGTACATTAACATCTCAATTTTTTTTTCACATGCTGTTAAATCTTTTAACTGATTGCAAGAAGTATGAATGGCAGGTATAGTTTTTTTCCAACAATGTGCAAATACATTTTGGAGATTGCTTCCATCTACAGAAAAGTTTCACATTCCTTCAAGTACCTTTTGAATATTCTGGACATCATGTATATAATAATATAATATTATAAACAGAAGATCATTGGTTAGACAGCGGTTGAAGATGCATCAACAAAATTTCCAGACAGAGAAAGAAAACGACAAGTTTGATTTTACAAAATGAACTTGAAAGTATCAAAGTAAAAATTACAGCAGCCCATAAAGAGAAAAAATCAACATCCATTGGACTCGATTCCCATTTCAATGCATCCAATTGATAGAAGCTTGTGCTCGAGTTTTAGAATTGCAATTAATGCTAGAAGTAATAGTAAATCCCTAAAAGAACGCAGATACTTACAAGAGGCAACATGAAAGAGAGAATGGCAAAGTCCTGCCCGTGAAGAATTTCAGAAGACACCTTTAGTACATCATTAAGTGGGCGTGCTGTCTCCTCCGACTTTGAGGCAAGGAAAAGCGTGGCAGTAGCTATTAACTGCAGCAAATAAATAGAGCAATTATTTACGCTTTATATCAACAGAGCAGCAGAATAACCGAAATAAGGGGCCACGTGGGTAGGAAAATTCCTGTAGACTTCAAAAGCTTTCTTACAAATAAGGGGAGTATTGTTATAATATATAACTCATTTTCAAAAGGCAAATTATAGCTTTACAGAAGACCAACATACAAATCTGTCGTGAGAGGCATGCGATCGACGAACAAAAAAGCGATGGCACAGAACCATGGCAGTCCCAATAGTAGTCTGTGGTCTGCAAATGCACAAGAAAATAAATGTCACCATAATATTAACTACACAAACGACTTCTTGTAAGTATCCTTTTATAAATAGCTTACAGATCAAGTCGGAGACCGAGATTCTGAAGGAAAGCACAGTAGGAGTATCTGAGGCGCGTCTCATGCAGCACATCAATGCCATCTTTTCTTGACGGAGAGCACCTCTCTATCTCATCCCTTGACATAAAAACCACTTCATCATCCTCAAACCTCGATCGATCGCGTTTGGGGGCAACTGAAGCATAAGCACTGGAATCACTTGAGGCAAGAAAAGCTGAACTGCTGTCGCGGAATACAGGGCCATTGCAGAAATCTCTGACTAAATTGGGAGGTACACGTTGCCAAAGATCAGCCTCATTTTGAGGCCCATGTTCGTAATTGAATTGCTGCTGGTAGGGTCTCCCAGTGCTTTCACAAGAGAAGTCGGAGAACTTTCTCCTTTTTGAAGAAGGTACAGTGTCAGTCCAGAAGCCATCATAATTGGGTCCACATGGCATAAAGCGTCTAGAGAAATCAAAGGAGTCGTCATGAGTTGTTATGTAAAAATTTGAATCATATGGGCAGTTATCATAGCTTCCGTTGAAGTTTGCAGCTGTTGCTCTCACGCCCATGTTCCTGTTGGACTTTCCACCACTGTAAAAGAGAAAACTTTCTGGTCTGTAAGGCTGAGCAAGAGACATAACTCCTGTCCAATTTAATAGAGTACAAAATACACATTACAACATTGTACAAAAATATAAAAGTTGTACTCTACAACAGCATCACTTTCCTGTCGATAAGAAAATCAAACATTCATATTTGACGATGGGATGCATACAAGAGAAACTATGTTATCAAAATTAATGCTGTTCAAAAGTCTCAGAAAATTACAGAGAAATTTATCCAGGTGTCATAGATCGAGTAAATATTCCTCAAGAGGCATTCATCATATGTAGCTGAACGGTCAAATGTCAGAAAATTAATCGCAAACTACTCATCGATTTCAGCCATGAAACGAACAAGAAACATCACAATTATCCATACAGATCAGCTGGATTCCGTTGATCAGAGATTCACAATGCCCTTGTTCTATTCATCAAAATACCTGATTCAGAAAATGATCTCCAAACCATGATCGCATGAGCTGGAAAAATTCAGCTTGATAATAGCGCACAAACCAATATACAGACATTCCCCCAAACAAGTTTTTCCACAACCACAACAAAATCAAACTCCTTTCTGCCACCGCATATAATATATATAGATATATACATATAAGAATCGAGTTAAATTGAAATAGCATAGATCAGAGTAAACATACGATGAATTTTACCTCAGACGCAGATATAAAGATCGAAGATCTGGTACGATGATCGCCGAGATACTTGAGGAGATATATGATACAGATATATTCTTCTGCGATTTGGCTTGCAATTAGGGTTTTCGGAAGGGGAAAAGTGAGAGATAAAAATGGGAAGAAATGAATCCTTTGGAAAAATAATATATTTTCAAAATTGGGATCGGTGGATGTTCTCATCCGACTGATACGTGAGACGATTTATTTTCTTTTTTAAAAAAAAATCTATATATATATAATTTCATTATCCCATGTCGAACTTTACTTGAAAAGACCCGTGTTCAGTCATGGTCAATTATACGTTGATGTGTCTCGAGTCACTAATCCACATGAATTGAAGATATTAATATGTGGGGATGGGGAAAAGAAAACTAATAAGTTTTTCACAATTTGTAATACCATACAGTATTGTACTTTACTATCTATTCAATAATAATATTTTTTATTTGTCATTTACTTTTTATTATATATATATATTAATGTATTTATTAAAAAATTTTAATAAATATGTTCCGTGCATCGCAGGGTGAAGATACTAGTATATATAATTGCTGGCAGATGCATTAAACAAAATCTATTTAATTTTACCTACGTGGCATTCCCGCCAAAAACCGTTACTTCCCAAGTTTTTATTATTCTTTAATCACAAAAACATATCGGCATTGAATGTTGGCCAAACTAATTAGTGTAAAATTAATTAGCTAAAATTCAGTCAATACTATAATGTTGATTATGAAAAATCTCTTCAAATTAATTTTGTTATTCGCTATTGATTACTATTGGCTACAACCATCAAAACGTTACAATCTCATCTTAAGGATAAAATATTTATTATCTATAAAAACATTTGTCGGACATAGAGTGGTTGGTTTCAATTTGGGTTTTAATATTGCTCAGTAAATTAAAAAATGATGCAAAAAAAAAAAGAATAATAAATACAATTTGAAAACTGCCTTTACAAAATCAGGAATATAACAAATAACAATAAAAATATTCCACCAGCATCCAGCAAAAATAGGAGAAAATTAAAAGTTTGATTCATTACTTTAGAATTGTAAATTCCTACATCGTTCACATAGATAACGATGAAAAAAAAACAAAATATGTTGTTAATAAATAATAATATACTTACCAATTACGTAAAACTGTATGCATGAAATCAGCTTCCTCATTTGATAAGAGTACTTTCGGCATCTTGATAATGCAATATTAAAAAATAATAATATAGTAACAATTAGTCAGATTTCAGTAATAATAATATAGTACTCCACAATTAGTCAGATTTCAGTAAAAAAAAATTATAATTGAATATTTCCCAGTAAGCATAATTTATGGATTCCACACATCGAATATAATTAAAATTAATAATTATATTTTACGCTAAATGATATATAGTTACATAAACATATATACAAAAAAAATGTAAAACCTTTTGTTCAAGTTATTCATTCTAAAATCAGTATTATATTTTTTTTGATTAAGCGATTGTTTTTTAATAAATTAATTTGTTTTGATGTCATAGTAAAATCTCTTAAAATTGCATAAGCAATTGTAATAATAAATGTCACGATCTCTCAAAATTACAAATGTTACAATATTTATTACATTTTATACATTCAATATAGTGATTCATATGCAATCAAATAGTTACATACTATTTATTTAACCCATGATAAAATTTTAAAACATAATACCATTATTTAACTTATAATTTCAATATAATATGTATAAATATAATTTATAATAGTTTAAAATGCAATACCGTTATTTAACTTATAATTTTAATATTACACGCATATAAATAACTTATAATACTTTATTTATATCTGTGCAAATGCACAGGGTCGAATACTAGTGGGTATGTATTGTGAATAAGTGGAATGTACCACTATTCATAATAGTGATGTGAATTAAATATGTATGGAGGAATGAATAAATAGGTATGGGGAGATGAATGATTTGTGTAGAAAGTGTCGGTAGAATTTGCCTACCCAAATGTATTGCATGGATACACTTTTGAGAAGAAAGAAGAAATTCAGTATAATTTATATCTGGTTTCTATTTTGTGTTCTTTATCTTTTCCCATTTTTATAACACGTTATCAGCACGAGCGCTCTACCCGGTCAAGAAAGGTAGGAATATACTAATTATATATGTATGAATATATATATATATATATATATATATATATATATATATATATATATATTACATAAAATTAGTATATTTTACTGATATACATATTACCATTATTCTTGACAAGTAATGCTCTGTCATAGTCAAGGATATGTGGTATGAATATACTAAATATGACATTATTTACACATTACCATTATTATTGGCAAGTAAGGCTATGTCATAGTCAATAATATGTGGTAAAATGATATTATTAAATTTGCTTATGAATTACTACTAATTATGAAATAAATTCAAGTTATAATAAATAATATTATTACTTATTCTTAACACCCACAAAATGGTTTACCCAGTAATGTGGTGTGAAATTTATAACTGCTTATTATTGTACTCACCGAAAGATTTATCGAGTAGTGTGGAGTGACATTTTTTTATTTGCTTTGTGACGTATATTTATTAAATTGTTCACATAGTGACTCGGAAATTTTTAAGGTAATATATATGATTAATTAGTATTTTATAATCATGAATGATTAACTAACAAATATTATACCATTAATTTGTTCCCAACGGCTACTTAACGGCTATATTGCAACGACTACTTATCAACCTATATATATATCACACTACACTTCATATATTAACATTCATTCCAAATACTACAACATATTCCCCTCAAAAGAAAAAAAAAAATGTTTCATCTACTATTTATAATTACCATTATATTGTTTATTTTTTACACTTTGGGAATTTTCACGATGATGTATCATACCACTGAATTTATACTTTATGTATTAGGTTTTTGTATGATGTGTCTCTTATTTGCTTTTCTGTACGTTGTGGAGAGTTAATGATTGTATAATATAATTTTCTTTAATCTAAGCATTGATGTTTTATTTTATAGTTATCATGGCAAATCTGGTCAAACTCGAATTTGAGGCTCTCGACATTTCGGGAAAAAATTATATTTCATGGACACTAGATTCCGAAATTCATTTGGCCGCGAGGGGATTGGGAGAAACAATAATCTCCCCAAATAATTCATCAATACAAGATAAAGCTAAATCAATGATATTTCTGCGGCACCATTTGAATGAGGGATTGAAAAATGAATACTTAACTGTGAAAGATCCTGCGGATCTTTGGAAAGCTTTGAAAGAAAGATACGATCATCAGAAAACAGTAATTCTCCCCCGGACTCGTTATGAATGGATGCACTTACGCCTCCAAGATTTTAAAACTGTAAACGAGTTCAATTCGGCCATGTTCCGCATTTGCTCGGTATTGAAATTATGCGGGGAAAACATGACTGATTATGATATGCTTGAAAAAACGCTGTCCACATTCCACGCTTCAAACGTACTTTTGCAGCAACAATACAGAGCAAAAGGCTTTGTGAAATATTCTGAGTTGATTTCTTGCTTGTTGCTAGCCGAACAAAATAATGAGCTGTTGATGAAAAATCATGAATCTAGACTCACGGGGTCTACTGCGGTCCCTGAGGTAAATGTTGTAATATCTAAACAGGGACCCAGAAATGAAAACAGCCAAAATTATGGACGTGGATATAACTCAGGCCGTGGTCGTGGCCGTGGACGTGGTCGTGGATATGGTCCAGATAGAAATTATGGACGAGGCCGAAATTTTTACCCGGGATACAAATATGGCCGAGGTTATTATCGTGGACATGGAAAAAACGATGCCCAAAATTTTGAAAAGGGGAAGAATTTTCAGAAAAAAATTGAAAATAACAAAGGGGAAGAAAAAGTTGTGAAAAATAACCATGAAAAACCATGTTATCGATGTGGGAGAAATAACCATTGGGCTCGAAATTGTCGAGCCCCACCGCACGTGGTTGAAAGATATCAGGATTCTCAGAAAGCAAAAGAGAAGAATATTGAAACTAATTTTATGGTTGGGGAATCCTCTGAAAATGATGCAACACGTGTGGATGATGACTATGGCATCGATGACATATTGAAACTGGATTTTGCCGATGCGGCATTTGAAGACGGAGCTGGAAATGACCAAGAGAATAACTGATATCACGTTTTTATTTTGCTTTTTGAGTTGTAATGTATTTGTGTGTGAGCTACTTGTATCTGTACTTTGAATTTGATCAATAATAAATGTTGTTTTCTTTTAGATCATGGATCGGTCTCGAATCCAAGATGGAGATATATGTCTTGCAGATTGTGCCACTACTCA